CTCAGGGCCTCGCCTGCGCCCTCCCCGGGCCCGCCGCGGCTGCCGGCCAGCAGGCCCGCCGCACAGGCCGCCGCGGCGGCGCCGAGTGCGCGCAGCAGCGGCGCCGGCCGCCGCCGCTGCGGCGCGCTCGCGCGCGGCTGGCCAGCGCGCCGCATGGAGGGCGGCGCGGTCGCTCCGCACCGCGCGCCCGACGGGCTCTCGCCGCGCGCGGCCTCGAGCCAAGGCTACGGAACTGCTGGGGATACGCGGAGCGAGAAAATTCATGAGTTCACTCACGCAGGCTCGGTGAGGAGCCAGAGTGACGTGACCAATGAGCATTACGACAAAGTGTGCGGAAAGAGCGGGGAGAAGCAGGAGAGCCAGACAGAGTGGGAAGGAGACGAGGGCGCTCCGCTAGCGCCCCATGGCAGCCCTGAGGGACCAACTCGAGCGCGTGCTTAATGATTCGCGATGAAGCAGACTACCTGGGATGCACACCCACCCACACCTCGGGGAGACGTAAGGCTCGGGCTCAAGGGACTCGGGTTGGCCTGACGGGGCCGTCAGAAAAAATACGAGACCTAGATTGAAATATGAAGCGAGATCCCGCTGAAGACATCCCAAGAAAACTGGAACGCCAAAATCCAAGACGGCCTCGCCAAAAAGCGTTTGCAAATCCCAAATCCGGCGTACTCGAGTCGTACATGTAGGTCGGGCATCGGGGGGTCCGGGCTAGTCCCGAGAGGATGAAAAACGAGCTCCCCCAGTGCACCATCCCAGGACAAGAGGTCAGGGCAAGCTGGAGCACCCTCCCTGCAAGGACCGAGGTCCGCCAAGGGTCACACACCTCCCCCAGTGACGGACGCGAATGCCCCTGGGGCTTAGCTCCGCCCAGCCGTGGGCCCAGGCGACCCGTGCCTCGATGACTGCGCCCACTGGAAGAGCTTGTTCAGCTCGTGAACCGCATCCTGCGCGAGGAGGGGAGGGGAGGGGGAGAGGCCAAGCTCGAGGAGAGGGGGTGGGGTAGCAGCAGCAGGAGCAGAGGGGTCGGCATTCGGTTCGATCCCCACCCCGCACGAGCTCTCAGAGAACCGCAAGGAGCAGGTCGGTTGGTCATTTGCTCACCATGCAATCCCGATCCGAGCTCTAGCTGCACAGATACGGATCGGCGCGTGCAGTCAGGAGCACGATGCTCCCCGCGTGGTCAAAAGCTTGGAGAGTCCCCCCCCAAAGCCACAGCCGGGGACACCAGGGCTAGTGACAGTTTTCTTATGCGGCGTTTCGACATTGGCATTGGGCGGAAGGGGGAGAGGGAGGGAGGGCCTTCGGACCTCTGCTTAACGCGACTGTTTGCAACAGTGCGTTCTTTGGGGGAGACTCCACCTGCTTGAAACAGGCGCTAAAAAAAGCCGAGATCTACTTCATGGCGGGGGGGCAGGGGGGGGCGAGGAGCCGCGCCGATCGGCAAAACAATGAATCAAAAAACGAACACCTAGCTGGGTCGGAATGGCAGCTGCTCGAACGGATTCCTCATGCAATAGGGTCTGCACGGCTCGCTCGGTCTCTGCTCCCCCATGAGAGCATCCCTTGGGATACCACCATGCTTCCGGGCGCCAGCGCAGCTCGGGCATCAGTGGGCGGGCGGGAGGGGAGGGGGACCACATCATACTTCCCCTCCTCCTCCCCATCTCGTCCTCCTCCTCCTTCTCCTCCTCCTCCTCTCCTCTACCTCCTCCTCTTCCTCCTCCTCCTCCTCCTCCTCCTCCTCCTTCCTCTTCCTCCTCCTCCTCTTCCTCCTCCACCTATCTCCTCCTCCACCTCCCTCCTCCTCCCCTCTCCTCCATATCCTCCTCCTCCTCCTCCTCCTCCTCCTCGTCATCCTCCTCCTCCTCCTCCTCCTCCTCCTCCTCCACCTCCTCCTCCTCCCCCCCCCTCCTCCTCCTCCTCCTCCTCCTCCTCCTCCCTCCTCCTCCTTCCTCCTCCTCCTCCCTCCTCCTCCTCCTCCTCCTCCTCCTCTCCTCCTCCTCCTCCTCCTCCTTCCTCCTCACTCCTCCACCTCCTCCTCCTCCTCCTCCTCCTCCTCCCTCCTCCTCCCCTCCTCCATCGCTCCTCCTCCTCCTCCCCTCCTCCTCCTCCTCCTCTCCTCCACCTCCTCCATCCCCCCTCCCTCCTCCCCTCCTCCTCCTCCTCCTCCTCCTCCTCCTCCTCCTCCTCCCCCCCCCCATCCTCCTCCTGGATCCTCCTCCTCCTACCTCATCCTCCTCCTCCTCCTCTCCCTCCTCCTCCTCCTCCTCCTCCTCCTGCCTCACTCTCCTCCTCCTCCCCTGCCCCTCCTCCCTCCTCCTCCTCCTCCTCCTCCTCCTCCTCCTCCTCCCCCCTCCTCATCCTCCTCTTCCTCTTTCCCCTCCTCCTCCTCCTCCTCCTCCTCCTCCTCCTTCCTCCTCCTCCCCTCATCCGCCTCCTTCCTCCTCCCCTCCTCCTCCTCCTCCTCCCTCCTCCTCCTCCTCCTCCTCCGCCTCCTCGCCTCCTCCGCCTCCTCCTCCTCCTCCTCCTCCACCTCCTCCTCCTCCTCCTACCTCCTCTCCTCCTCCCTCCTCACTCCTCCTTCCTCCCCTCCTCCTCCTCCTCCTACTCCCCTCCTTCCTCCTCCCCCTACCCCCACCTCCTCCTCCTCCTCCTCCTCCTTCTCCTCCTTCTCCTCCTCCTCCTCATCATCCGCCTCTTCTTCTTCTTAGTATTATTCTTATGTTTCGTCGTATTCTTCTTCGTAGTGTTATTATTAGTATTATGAGTCTTTCCTGTTTATTACTATTACTGTGTTTATTCGAAAAAACATGTTACCATCCTTATTACTACTACTACTACTACTACTACTACTACTACTACTACTACTACTACTACTACTACTACTACTACTACTACTACTACTACTACTACTACTACGACTACTCTACTACTACTATAATAAAATATACATACGAAAATGATTTAATTATAGTAAGAAAGAATAGAATGAAGAATGATCAGAAATAATGATGCATTAGATTGTGTGTTAATATTATTAGTATGCTTATGAGTATTGATATTCATGCTGTTATTGATATTGACAATAGTAGTGGTAGTCATAGAACTATCAATAGTATTATTATTAATAATAATAATATTATCAGTATTATAAGTAGTATTAATAGTATTAATAGCATGCTTATTGTTATTATTCTAGTAATAATAACAATACTACTACTACTACTACTACTACTACTACTACTACTACTACTAATAATAATCCTAATAATACGAATAACAATACTACTAATAATAATAATAATAATAACAATAAAGAAAATAATAATAATAATAATAACAATAATAATAATATACTAACAAGTTTTAGCATGATTCCTCCTCCTCCTCATCATCCTGCTCCTCCTGCTCCTGCTCCTGCTCGTCCTCCTCTCCCTCCTCCTCCTCCTCCAGAAAGCCTGCAAACCTGAAGGCAGAACCTCCTCCTCCTCCTCCTCCCCCTCCTCCCTCCTCTCCTCCTCTCCTCCTCCCTCCTCCTCCTCCTCCTCCTCCTCCTCCCTCCCCCTCCTCCTCCTCCTCCTCCTCCTCCTCCTCCTCCTCCTCCTCCTCCTCCTAGCTCTTTCGAGCGCGTTCCGCCAACGGTGACAAGCCGCTGGGTGTTGTCCCTGGCGAAACGGGGGGGAGCGTCCGAGACTCCGTGAACATCGGCGCTGACGACCTGCATGCCACGGTGTCCGGACCGCCAGTCTTCGGAGGTTCTGGTGGGGCCACCGACGGTCTACAAGCGACTCAGCGAGTTCTCTGGGAGGCCCCCAGGGCCCTCTTAGGAAGCCTATTCGAGCCCTCTTGGGCCGTCTTGGGCCCATGTTGGGCCGTCTGAAGGCCATGTTGGCGACTTCTTGGACCGTGTGGAAGCGTCTCGGATCATCTTGGGCCATCTTGGGGCCCTCTTGGTCCATCTGGCGGCCTCTTGGGGATCTGCTAGGCCGTCTTGAAACGATTTGGGGGGCCTCTTGGGCCGCCTCGGAGCGTCGCAAGCCCGACAAGGCGAGACCATCAACATCCATGTTTTAAAACTGACGGGAAATTAATTATCTTGGCCTCTCGGAGCTCTTGGGAGGCCAGGCCTCTTGAACCCCCTTGGGTCGTCTTAGGGTCCTGCTGGGCCGTCTGAAGAATCCATTGGCAACCTCGTCGACCGACTCGAGGTGTCTCGGGCCATATTGGACCATCTTGGGGTCCTCGTGGGCCGTCTTGGAGCGCCCTTTATTTGGACCCCCTGAGCCCAAGAATCTTCATAAGGACACAGACGCTTCTGGCACGCAGGAAGCGCTGCACTGTAGGGGCGATGACGTTCGGCCGCGCTCTGCGGCGCCCGCGCCCGCTGCCACTGCTCGCCCTTCTCGCACGCGATGATCCCAGCGCTGTAGATGACTAGCGTGTACCCGTGGAGCAAATCCGCAGGTGCCCTGGCAAGGGAACGCGGCGGGGCCGTCAGACGGCGACAGCCTAGTGGCTGACAGATGTCGTAGATGTAGCCGAAGAGCCTGGCGCGTTGTAGCATCCGTTGGGGGGCCTCGTCGGGGTATCTGGGAGCTCTCTGGGGCCGTCTTCGGGGGCATCGGGTGCATTTCCTCGCACGCGGCTCCAGCTTCCAGACGCAGGGCCCGGGAGAGCCCTGCAGCCGCCCCGGGAGGACCCAGAACCGCCCCCAGATGGCACCCAGGAGGCCTCCAGGGGCGGCCCCGGGGCGCCGGCAACATGTGAGGAAGCAGGGCCGCATTTCCTCACATGGTTATGGCTCCCAGGCGCAGGCCCAGGAGGCCCCAGGGCTGCGCTGGACAGCCACGAGGGCCGCAAGCAGTTCTACGAGGAGCACCAGCCGAGCTACGAGGACGACAAGCAGAGCTTCTCGAGGGCCACTGGCTGAGCTACGAGACCTGCAAGCCGAATTACGAGAGCCACTGGCACCAGCCTCCCTGCCACCTGGCTGGAACAGCTACCTCGACCAGCAGGGGCCATGCTAATACCACCACGCGGCCCTGGACATGACGACGTGGGCGCCGCCGTGCACCAGGTCCGCCGATACGCCCCTCCTCAGCTGCCTCGAGAGGCCGCCGCGCCGCGGAGGCATAGAGGAGGAACGCGCCGACGAGAGCGACGAAGAGGGTGACGGGCACGACGAGTACGAGGAGAGCGACGAGCAGAGCGAGGCCCGAGCAGAGCTACGGGGGCCAGCGACCTCCAAGAGCCTCCAGCAGAGCCACGAGGGCCACCTGCTGGGCTACGATGGCCGCAACTTGAACTACACGGGCAGCAAGCAGACCTTGGAGGGAAACCAGGCGAGCTTCGCAGGCAAGCTGCCCAGCTACGCGTGCCACGAGCTGAGCTGCTCGGTCAGCAGGCAAGAGCTTCGAGGGCCACCCGCCGAGCCACCAGGGTGAGGACAACGAGCTGAGCTACACGGGCACCAAGCCGAGCTTCTGGGGCCACCAGCTGAACCGCCTGGGCCCGCAGAACTAAGAGAACCGCCCCCTGCTCCTGAAGGACTGCCAGAAGAGCTTCGAGGGCGACCAGCAGAGCTTCGAGGGCCACCAGCTGAACTACCAGCCGCCCGACCGTCCACGAGAACCACCAGCAGAACTACCTGGGCCACCCGCTGAGCTACGAGGACCACCAGCGGAGCTACGAGGGCCGCGAGCTGAGCTGCGTGGGCCGCCAACGGAGCTGCGAGGGCAGACCGCTCGGCCACGAGGGCCACCTCGGCCACCAGCGAAGCCACCAGGGACAGCCGCTGGGCTACGAGAAACACAGCTAGAGCTACAACGTCGACCACCTGCAGATCCGCCAGGGCCACCAGGCGGACGACGAGTGCCGCAAGCTGAGCTACTTCGGCCACCAGCCGAACTACGAGGGTCACCAGCGAGCGGAGCTGCGAGGGCTACCAGCAGAGCTCCAAGGGCCACCTGAGCTACAAGGGCAACCAGCTGAGCTACGACTGCCACCAGAAGAGCTTCTGCCACGAGATCCACGCAAGATCGCAACCACATACTGGGACAAATGGGGCAGAAAACTCCAGCTGCAGATCCGCACCACAGAGGCTGGCTACGAGGCGGGCCGCATCTCCTACGACGAGTACTAAGAGCGCAACGTCATTGCGCACCACCGTACGAAAGGCCTGCTTACGGCCCAAACAGAAACTACCACATCATCTTCGTGTGGCACCTCATTCTGATGACGATGAGAAAGGCCAACCTTAAGCCGGAGAGTACAGAGTTTAGCACGACATGTGACCAGCACAGACGAGGTCAGATTCATGTCTACATCGACGGCGGGGGTGCTACGCCATCGCAGGCATCATCAGCTTCTGTTGAGTGGCACAGCCGCTCACCCATACCCCATCCCTTCTCCTCCTCTTTGTTCAGCGTGTGGCAACTCATTACACCAACGAAAAATCCCAATCTGTGGATGGGTTTCGCTGAGGAGATCGACCGGGAACCCGGGAGCCCGGGAACCCAAACCCGTCGAAGTCGGCCCGGAACCAGTAACCGAGAACCCGGGAACCTGGAACAGGAAAAACCCGGGAACCCAGCCTGCTACCAACATCGGCGGGAAACGTTCACCCAATCTTTAAACTTCCGCCAGGACTCCTTCAGTGCAAGCACTGATTGGGCAAGGAGGAGGAGGAGGAGGAGGAGGAGGAGGAGGAGGAGGAGGAGGAAAGGAGGAGGAGGAGGAGGAGGGGGAGGAGGTCGCAGGGGCTTGTTTTCCACCACCACCACCACCACCATAAGTCGGAAGGGGGAGGGGGTCCTTCCACCTCCTCCTACCTCCCTCATCCTCCTCCTTAATACTCTCCTCCTTTTTTTCCCCCTTTCGTCCTCTCCCTCCTCCTCCTCCTCCCTCCCCCTCCCTTTGCAAGGACCGGGCTCTGGCGCGGGGCGCGGCGCGCCTCCAGCCCCGGTGGCAAGAGAACACAGTGCGGGCGTGCGGGGGCGGCGGCGCCTGGGACCGCCGCGCCCCGTCGCGAGAAGAGAGGAGGGATGAGGACGCCAAGCGCCCCAGGCAAGGGAGGAGAGAAACCCAAGATGGCACTTGAGAGGGAAGGGGGGGAGGAGCAGGAATGAGGAGGCCAAGCGTCCCAAGGAAGAAGGGGGAGGGAGGAGGGAGGAGGGAGGAGGGAGGAGGGAGGAGGGAGGAGGGAGGAGGAGGAGGAGGAGGAGGAGGAGGAGGAGGAGGAGGAGGAGGAGGAGGAGGAGGAGGAAACAGGAGAGGAGGCGTTGGACCCGCAGACCCGCAGAGGACGAGCAAGATACACCCGAAGTCTGCCCCGGGACGCAGTCCATAGTCAGATTCACGAGCCCAGCCCAGCCGCCTTTGGGGGACCTCCCCAGGGCTGTGAGAACAGGAAGGGGTCCCAGTTTGCACCCATGGTCCCTCGTAGGGCCCCACCCCTCAGGGCCCCCTCTCTGAACCGCCGAGAATCAGAGCAGGGCGAGCTGAGAACGACGGCAGCTCAAAACGGCTCCCGGACCACTGACCAGGGCCCAGACGCAGCAGCGCTCCGAGCTGCGTCCAGCCGTGTCGACGCGGGGGGCCCCCGAAAGCTACCTGATGACCGCTGTTTCTCCGTTCGCCCGAACGACGGGGGACGCCATCGGCCCGCATCCACACGGTCGGCACGCCGCCCGGGCAGCGGGATCCCCGCTGGCTGGGCGCCGCCCTCCTCCGCCCCCGAGACCCGACGCATCAAACATCACAGCCGGAGTCCTGGACCCCATCTTCTTGCACCGCGTGTCGGGCCGGATCGATCCGTGAGGGCCCCAGGGCCCGACTCCTGGCGAAGACGCCCACTTTAGAAAAGTTGCACCGCCCGGATCTCTGAGGAAGAAACTGATCGTGCTGGGAGGCAGGGGCTGGGAAGGTACAGGGTACGAGTGTGTAATCAACACGCTCAACAGACGCGATCATACGGAGGATTTGTCGCAGCGTCGCTTGTTCTCAACACGACGAAGTGGACGACTCTGACACCAAGGCAAACTCTGCGTTCCACGCGCCCCAATAGACTACGCCAGCACTGCGACAAACACATGGCAAGCCCACCGCGCCCGAGGCGGCGTTTGCCCTGGTGGCCGAGGCACCCTCCCCAAGACGTGAGGCCGCGCGTCGGGACAAACGGCGCCGCGGCATCTGATCATGTCTCCCAACCCCATCCTCCCAACCCGATAATCCCACCAGCCCTCTGGGCGTAGGTGGTCTAGAGCAGATCCTCTTCCACCCCTCCCTCTTCCCCCTTGGGGAGGGGTTTACCCCTCCCCCTACCCCCTCCCCTGGACCTGGACGGGGGGGGCCGCGGGTAGTTAGAGCGTCCAAGATGGCCCAAGACGGCTCCAAGAGCGCCTCAGAGAACCCAAGATGAGCTCCAAGATGGCTCAAGATAGCGCAAGATCGCTCACGATGGCTCCTAAGATGGTTCCAAGAAGCCCAAAGACGGCCCCAAGATAACTCCAAGTGGCCAAACAGCTCCCCAAGGAGGCCCCGAAGAGGCCAAAATCGTCCCAAAACCTAAGGAAAATCAATGATTTTTGCTTTCTCGCCTTTTCGCTTCCGATGGCCATCCGAGGCCTGGAGATGGCTCCAAGATGGCCCAAGAGGGCCCCAAGAGAGCCCCAAAAGAGCCCCAAGACGGCCCCAAGAGCGCCCAAGAGCACTCCAAGAGCGTTCCAAGAGGGGTCCAAGAGGCGATTTTAGGGGCTTCCGAGGGGGGACGCTAATTAAACCCCCCCTCTTGTTTGATCGACTCCCTCCAAGATGGCCCCAAAAGCGCCCCGAAGGCTCCCCAGAGCGCCTCAAGAGGGTCCCAAGAGGCGCCCAAGATGCCCCAAGGCGCCCAAAAAGCCCTCCAAGAGGCCCTCAAAAGACCCCCAAGAAGCTCCTTCCCCTCCTCCTCCTCCTCCTCCGATTCTTCCTCCTTCTCCGTCCTCCTCCTCCTCCTCCTCCTCCTCCTCTTCCCCCTCCTCCTCCTCCTCCTCCTCCGACGACGACGACGACGACGACGACTCCTCTTCCATCCTCCCCCTCTCGGGGTCTGTGACAGCTTCCCCCGCCCTTTGTTATTCTGCATGCTCCCCGACTTCCCTGATCACCTCAACTCCCCTGAGCATCGTTTCTGGATGGGCTGGTGGGGATACGCGAAGCGTCAACAATTGTTTTTCTGCATCTCAGGGTCCGCCGCCCCTCCCCCCCCGACGCGTCCTTGCCGAGCGGCCCGACGTCGCCCGCCCGACATGATCGCGTAGTCCAAGCCTGGGGCGGCCGTGGAGGAAGGGGGGGGGGGGGGGCGGCGGCAGGCAGGCGACAGGCGGGTAGCACGGCGGGCGGGCGGAGGGGGGCAGGGGGAGGGGGAGGAGGAGGAGGAAAAGGAGGAGGGGGAGGACGACGAGGAGGTGGAGGAGGAGGAGGAGGAGTGGAACGGAATGGAACCTGAAGCGGACGGGTGCCCGCCTTGCCGCCGCGGCGGCGGCTGCTCGGCCACGGCCTCGCAGCTCAAAACTCCGAGTACTCGCACTCGGTACCAATGCCCTCAACACCGTGTGGGGGAGTGCGGCGGGGGGGGGGGGAGCAGGAGGAGGAGGAGGAGGAGGAGGAGGCAAGTTCTGCACGCGCCGTCTGCATAGTTTGTCTGTCGCTATACCTACGTCAGCTTCACACTGGTATACTATCTTCTCACAGGAACGCCTCAGCCACGAAGCCAAAGTCTGACCAGCGAATCAGGAGGAGGCAAGGAAAACATGGGCGCGCATAGCTCGTGCAGCGCGCCCAGCTCGTGCTCGCAGGCGAGGAGAAGGGCCCTTTCGCCCAGGCGGGCCCTGGGGCGCTCTCCGCCTGGCAGCGGCGCGCCGCGAGGCGGGGAGCCCGTAAGGCGGCGCGGGCCCCCGTGCGTCCCAGGGTGCACGCCCGCACTCGGAAAGCAACTCACGGCAGCTTGTGGTCGTCCACGTGGCGCCCAGTAGCGCGTCCAGTAGCGCTCAGAGCGAGCGCAGCGTATTATTTCCACGTGGCGCCAGTGGGCGCTCTTCGGCGCCAGTTGGGCGCTGGTCGGGCGCTGTTCGGCGCTATGTGGCGCTTTTGAACGCGTTGGAGCGCGATTGAGAGCTATGCGCCGACATCTGTTCAATTCAAGAGGGGCGGAAGCTTCCGTGGTTCACTATCTAACCACACTGGTTGACATGTCAGGCGAGCGCAACAACACAACGGGCGTTCGGGCGTTCCCTGACATCCGGGCGCTGCTACTGTCTCAAAACGAGCGCGGTCGCCCCGTTCTGGACGCGGGAGCCCTCACAGATCAATCCGGCCCGAGAAATCGGAGGTGAGGGGGTGAGATCGAAGTGGAATGGAGAGCCCTACCGGGAAATCGGTTTCGGTTTCGTGTTCGTGCGTGCCGTGCGTGCGGACGAGGCGAAGCTGCGTGGGCGGGCGAAAAGAAAGTCTCCTCCGGCTGAGGCGCGGCCGGACCAAATGATTCCTTTCCGGGGCCGGTGGCCCGCGGTGTCCCGCCGGTGTCCCGCCTCCGGCTGAGGCGCGGCCGGACCAAATGATTCCTTTCCGGGGGCCAGTGGCCCGCGGTGTCCCGCCGGTGTCCCGCCTCCGGCTGAGACGCGGCCGGACCAAATGATTCCTTTCCGGGGGCCGGTGGCCCGCGGTGTCCCGCTGGTGTCCCGCCCGTGTCCCGTCGGTGTCCCGATGATAATCATGATGATGAAGATGATGATGATGATGATGATGATGATGATGATGATGATGATGATGATGATGATGATGATGATCATGATGATCATGATGATGAAGATACTAATGATGATGATGGTGATGATGATGATGGTGATAGTAGTGATGATGATGGTGTCCCGATGATGATGATGATGATGATGATGATGATGATGATGATGATGATGATGATGATGATGATGTTGACGATGTTGATGATTATGATGACGGTGATGATGGTGATAATAATGGTGTCCCGATTCTGATGATGTTGATCATGATGATGTTGCTGCTGATGATGGTGGTGTCCCGATGATGATGAGGTTGATGATGATGATGATGTTGATGATGATCCTGATGATGTTGATGATGAGATGGTGATGAGATGATGATGATGATGATGATGATGATGGTGAAGATGATGATGAGGATGATGATGAGGTTGATGATGATGCTGTTGATGATGATGATGTTGCTGATGTTGGTGTCCCAATGATGATGATGATGATGATGATGATGGTGATGATGATGACGATGATGGTGTCCCAATGATGAAGATGATGATGTTGATGATGATGATAATGATGAGGTGATGATGGTGATGATGATGATGATGATGGTGGCCCGATGATGGTGATGATGATGATGCTGATGTTGATAATGCTGATGGTGTCCCAATGATGATGATGATGATGATGGTGATGACGATTATGGTGACGATGATGATGGTGTCCTGGTGATGATGATGTTGATGATGATGGTGCCCGGATGATTATGATATTGATGATGTTGTTCATGATGACGATGCAGAGATGATGGTGATGATGGTGGTGTTCCGATGATGATTATGGTGTCCCGATGATGACTGTGCTGATGATGCTGATAATGACGATGCTGGTGCCCCGATGATGATGATGGTGATGATGATGTTAATGATGATGGTGGTGAGGTGATGGTGATGGTGTCCCAATGATGATGATGATGATGATGTTGATGACGTTGGTGACGATGATATTGATGATGGTGACGTTGATTGTGAGATCGGCTGTGACATCGATAGTGAGATCCATAGTGAGACCGAATGTGAAATCGATTGTGAGATCGATAGTGAGATCGATAGTGAGATCGACTGTGAGATCGATAGTCAGATCGATTGTGTGATCGATCGGATGAAATAGATCGAGTGAGATCGATTGTGAGATCGATCGAGTGAGATCGATCGAGCGAGACCGATAGTGAGATCGATAGTGAGATTGATAGTGAGACCGATAGTGAGACGTTGGTTCCTCCCCCCCCAAACCTCCTTATCACCCGAAGGGTGGTCGTATAGGTACCGCAAAAAGTTGGGACATGGGCCTGCCATCGTAATGTTTCTGGATATTGCTATCTTTTCGCGTCGTCGAATCTCGCTATTAACAAACCGTGCTTTGATAACAGGTGGCGCCGCCGCCGCGCGGAGGGGCGCGGCGGCAACCTCTGCCCCCACAGCGTGCACGAGCGAGAGATTGCGCGGCCGTCACAGCCACCCTGTCCTCCGGGACGTCAGGCAGAGGTGCGCACCCCAGGTGGCGACATCCAAACCCTACCTCCAACAACCATGGATTCTCCGGAATCGAGGGGAGGCTGGGGTGGGGTTCGGACTTCACCACGTGTCCGACGAGACTCCGAACCCTTCCCCCGCCGCCCATCGGGTTGCCTGAGTCGTGGATCGGCGAGGGCAGGGTTCGGATTGCGGCGCCGGACCCCGCCCTCGCACCCGCGGAAGGGCGGAGGAGGAGGAGGTCGGGTGGCGGAGGGTGGAGGGCGGGGAGGGAGGAGGGAGGAAGGAGGGAGGAGGGAGGAGGGAGGAGGGAGGAGGAGGAGGGAGGAGGGAGGAGGGAGAGGGAGGAGGGAGAGGGAGGAGGGAGGAGGGAGGAGGGTGGAGGGAGGAGGGAGGAGGGAGGGAGGGAGGAGGGGAGGGGAGGAGGGAGGAGGGAGAAGGGAGGAGGGAGGAGGGAGGAGGGAGGAGGAGGAGGGAGGAGAGGAGGAGGGAGGGGGGTGAGGAGGGAGGGGAGGGAGATGGGAGGACCTGAGGCAGAGGTGCGCACCCGCCAGTGCGCGGCAGCCTCCCGAGGGGCGGGCGGGCCTGACTGCCTGGCCAGCGTTCGCGCGAAGAGCGTCTTGCCGGTGCCGGGGGCTCCTCGAGTGGCGCGCGCCGACGGGGGCCGCACGCGTGCCCTCCACGGCCTCCTTCCTCGTCCCCTTTGTCCCGCCGCCGCGTTCCCCTCCTCTGCCTTCCCTTCCCCCTTCTCCCTCCATCCCCCCCCCCCCCCTTCCTCCCTCCCCTTCCCTTGTCCCCGTCCCCTCCCATCCTCTCCCTTCCCTTCCCCTCCCCTCCTCCTCCCCTCCTCTCCATTCCCCTCCCCTTCCACTCCCGTCCATTCACCATCCCTCCTCTCCCTTCCCCTCCCCTGGTCTGCCGCTCGCCATGCTCTCCCGGAATTTCTTCCCAATTCTCCTTGGTTGGGTATTCGTTGTTTTCCATAGAGCACCGCGGTCGCGTCTCCTCCTCCCGCCTTCTTCCGCCTCCTGCCCTCTCTTCGCCGTCCCTGGGGAGCTGAGATCTGCGAAACTGTCGCCACTCTCGAGGGCTGCTGGTGGGTCCAGCGGAGTGAGGCACCGCGCAGATCTGAGCGGTAGCTCGCCGTCCCAGGGGTGCTGCCATCTGCGAAACTGTCGCCACTTTCGCGGGCTGCTAGTGGGCTCGCCACTTTCGAAGGCTGCTGGTGGGTCCAGCGGAGTGAGGCACTGCGCAGACCTGAGCGGGACCTCGCCGTCCCTGGGGGGCCATGTCATGTTGTTGCTGCCCCGCCGACGTTTCAAGCTCCTTGCCCACCGTCTCCTTTTGGACCTTGCGTCTTCCTTCGTAACTCAGGGGTTCACTCGGTCACTCATTGTTTTTTCCCTTGATTCGGGACCTGCGAACCTTCCGAATGCCGCTCGCAGAAGTATATGCGACCATGTCACGTCGCCGCCTTCTCGTCAAATCCCCCAAGCTACTCCTGCCCCGCACTGCGCAGGGGTTGGGTACGTCGCCAGGGTAATTTCCCGCACGCCGCCGCGACCAGCGGGGGCGTCCGACAAAAAACATCATCGATGGACGGTTGAGGTCTCGAGGCGAGTTGTGAAAGGGTGCCGATGATGCGCAGAGCCCATCTGAGGTCCGCTTCGAGGAGGGGATATGAATGATAGATCCGCCTCGCTTGAAGTTCCTGGGTCTGTCACGAAAAATCCAAAAAAGCAAGTCCCAATATCGGATCGGAGCGAAAAACGGTCGACTCGACAATAACATTGGCTAGCCGAGAAACGTTTCGACATTACGTGAAGAAACCGCTTGTGAAGGAAGACATTTGACTTGGCAGCACCCTCGCTCCAGGGAGAGGAAGGATCCGCCAGGGTGACGTAGGCACTGAATATGAATGGAATGTCCGCAGGTTCCTTAGAGGTCCCTGTTATTACTACGAGTACACGTAAGGCGGCCCAAAGCTCACATTGCCGCTCCAAGAAGCCAGAGAGCGCCAAGACAGGCCAAGAATGTCCCAGGAATCCCTCGAGGTAATCCAAGGGGACCCCAACTCGCCCCAAGAACGCTCCCAGACGGCCCAAAAAGCCCCCAAGAGAGTCCGAAGACGGCGCTAGAGGGCCCTAAGATGGCTCGAAAGGCCCCCAGGATGGCCCCAAGAGGGCCCCAAAACGGCCCAAGAGATCTCCAAGGCGACGCCAGCGCGCCCCAATAAGGCCACATGACGGCCAGAGAGACCCCCGAGGCGGCCTCCGAAGGCGTCAGACGGGCCAAGGGCGCCCCGAGATAGCCCAAGAGACCCCCCCAGTGACCCCAAGATGCCCCCCCCCAAAGACCCCCTAAAAGCCCCCAAAAGGAGGCCGCCCCCGCAGGCGACCGCCCGAGCGCGGCTGCAGAACCGCGCGGCAGCGCAACGGGATTGGAAAGCAGAGGAGCGCACGCCCCAGATAGAGGTATGATGAAGGAGCAAACGAGGACGTGGAGAACACGTGCTGGGTATGCGAACATGCCCCTTACAGGAGAGATGGGTACGTCGACGAACTCAGGACTCATAAGATATAGGGACCAATTGAGGCACGAGGGATGTGAAAGTGGACGGACAAGGAAAAGAAATACCCTGTGCTAGTGGCCGTCCGCCCTCTACCTGGGAAGTTTATCGCTCGAGACCAGCAGACGAGTTTCATCACCTGATTGTTGCGCATACCTGACAAGTCTCGCACGCGGCTGATGATCCAGCCTCGAATGGCTTGCACACAAAGTGAGCAAAATGCAGTAGCCAAAACGTCCGGTGGCACCAACAACTGCTCGGCGCAGTAGCCAGAACGGAGGATATCTGTGAAACAAGCACGTGCAAGTAACTCCCAGGTGCCAGTGCTTCCACGGTAGACCTCCAAAGTCGCAATCTGTGCTGTGAGCGACAAGCTCCGCTGAATCCCCATCCCCTTCCTCCCCTTCCTCCTCCTCCGCCTCCTCCTCCTCCGCCTCCTCCTCCTCATCCTCCTCATCATCAGCATCATCAAACGTTTTATCTTCGCCCGCTTCCTCATCCCTCAACGCTTGCCCTGCTGCTGCTCACCCTCCACCAGCCCTTCTCATCCTCCGTTCCCTCGTCATACTCGTCATCCCCGTCCGCCTCCTCCTCCTCATCTTCCTCCTCCTCCTCCTCCCCCCTCTTCTTCTAAGTATTACTCGTCGTACGCCTTATTATCAGTACCATTATTAGCAGTGTTCGTAGTATGCCTATTATTGCTACGATGACGACTAATCGTATGATTATGTTCCGTAGTATCATTATTCGTCTTTTTACCAGTAGTATGAACCATACGGATAGTAATCATCCTAATCCGCCTGAAACTGCCTCACCATTCATGATCCTGAAGCTCAAGAATTGGCAACAGCTTTACGGATGGAGGGCGCGTCGCTTCCAATAGGTGGCTCTCGTCTGAGCACCGCGAACACTCGTCTTGAAAAATTGCAAGAGCTTTTAGGATTGAGGGCGGGTGGTTTTCAGAATGTGGCTCTCGCCTGAGCGCCGCGCACACTCGTTTAAAAAACCCAGGAGTTTCACTAATTGAGGGTGGCTCATGTTCAAAATGCTGCTCTCGCCTTAGCGCCGCGCACATTCGTTCTGAGAAAGTGCAAGGGTTTTACTGCTTCTCATAGTGCGTACCAGAAATGACATGTCTGGGCGATTCAGGATCGTCAAGGCGCAACAATTACTTTGATTATCGGTGTTTGAAGTCCCAGGAATGGCGTTCTGGCACGGTTATAGATCGTCAAGCGGCAACAATCAGGTTGATTTGTGGCGTTGGAGTCCTGTGATGTGTGTCTTGCCACGCTTCAGGATCTTCAATCGATCATCTCCCACCAGGGCACATTCCTCAATAGAACGGAATCCTTGTATAGGGGCCTATGAAGAGGAAGTCTGGGGGAGGGTTTATCCCAGCATCGTTGATGAGCCCTGGGTTTGCACTGCTCCTCCTCCTCCTCCTCCTCCTGCTCCTCCTCCCTATCATCCTCATCATCATCGTCATCATCATCATCATGATCATCAGCAGCATCATCAGCATTATCATCCTAATCCTCATCCTCTTCCGCATCCTCATCCCCCTCTGGGGAAACCAAAACGGTACCCATGATGCTACTCCCTGGACCTCTCATGGGGTGCGTTCTGACTAGAATCTCGAAGCGAATCCAGCGGTGGCGACGAGGGCCTCCCAGGATGCAGAACAAACAGGAAAATGGGCAAAGGGTAGCGGCACGGGTACCTGTTCCTCCTCCACCTCCTACTCGGCCACGTCAAGGCACATCCTTCTCGTCCTCCTTCGGTATCGCCGCCGCCGCCGCCTCCGCCCCCGTATCCCCCCCAGCTCCCCTCCCCTCCCTCGCCTCCCACGAGTCGGCAGCCCTGCCAGGCCCCGTCGCGGTAGAGCTCTGCCAACGATTCGCTGTACACATTGGCTCACTATGCTCCAACCCGTAATGTCCTTGAACGCCCGAAATGGGTACGGAAACCTGAGGGACCCACGAACGCGATACGGAACTTGAGCCAGACATTCTTCTGATGCGCGTGCAACACTTTCCAGTTGCTTGGCTGCCTCCGCTACCTCTTGCACGTCCTGCCTATCCTCCTCCTCCTCCTCCTCCTCCTCCTCCTCCTCCTCCTCCTCCTGCTCCTCATCCTCCTCCTGCTCCCACCCTCCTCCCAATCATCATCCTCTTTATACTACTCTTCCTCCTCCTCCTCCTCCTCCTCCTCCTCTTCATCCTCAGCCTCATCCTCATCCTCCTCCTCCTTCTCCTTCTCCCCTCCTCATCATCATCCTCTTACTCCTATTCTTCCTCCTCCTCCTCGTCCGTCCTCCCCCTTGCTCCTTACTCCTTCCTCTTTTCTCATTCCGCCTTCCTCCTTCCTCCTTCCCCATCCTCCTCACCATATTCCTCTCTCCACCATCCTTCTCCTCATCGTCGTCTCCGTCCTGCACGAACGGGCTGTCACCTTCGTCTTCCTCCTCCTCCTCCTCCTCCTCCTCCTCCTCCTCCTCCTCCCCCTCATCTTTTCCGTACTCTTATTCATATTAGTTGCCGTATAATCATTATCACTCCTCCTCCTCCTCCTCCTCCTCTTCATCCTCCTCCTCCTCGTCCTCCTCCTCCTCCTCGTCCTCCTCCTCCTCCACCTCATCCTCCTCCTCCTCCTCCTCCTTAATCGGCGTCCTCAGTCAAACATGTTTCTCCTCCTCCTCCTCTTCCTCCTCCTCATCTTCCATTTCCTCTCATCGGTATCATAATCATCATCAGCATCATCATCAGCACCATCTTCATCATCAACATCATTAGCATCATCAGCATCATTATCATCATCAGCATCATCAGCATCATCATCAATCATCATCAATCACCCTCATCATCAGCAGCAACATCATATTCATCATCAGCATCATGATCAGCATCGTCATCATCATCGTCGTCATCATCGTCATCATCATCATCATCATCGTCGTCGTCGTCGTCAGCATCATCATCCTCATCAGCATCCGCATCCTCATCCTCATCCTCATCCTCATCCTCATCCTCATCCTCATCCTCATCCTCATCCTCATCCTCATCCTCATCCT